AGGTTGAAGATATTAGCAGTAGTCATATGAATGAATGACTTAGGAAACCAGCAATTTCAAAGTTTCTTTCTGTGCCAAGTTGCTTGTGTATTCAAGAACTGTTCGAAGTGAGCCCTTTTCGATGGCTGCACTTGACCTTCATCGAACGGGCCATCGACCTTCAATTCTACTACAACCACAACAGCAACTCATTAGACAAATCGGACAGGTACCTATCAAAAAAAAACTCAAATCCATTAGGGAAAAAGGAAGCAGTAATTGCTAATTTTTGACTGCAATATCAGAAACGAACTCATTTACAACTTCGTGTTCTGACAGCACGTTTCGATCAAAAGGTCGCGATAGTGTCATAAAGACCGAAAAAGAGCATAAACTTACCAGCTGCGATCGGAGCAAGTCTTTTATAGGTGAGTACAGGTCCATGGGTGGAAAGACTACCAATGGAGAGCATTAAAGATATGGCGGGAAGAGCAAAGAGCGGGAAGAAGAGCATCCAAGTGATGCGACCTAGGGCCAGCTGGGTGGCATAGGGAGCGACGGCAAGCAACGCAGTCGAATAGCCGTACGAGTCATCATAGCCGAACATGCTCAGCTGTTGGCGCTGATCTCAGTCAAACATGAAACGATTGGTGGCGAGCAGCGACGGGGAAGGGAGGGAAAAGGCCGCCGGGGAGCGGTGTTCGTCGTCTCACGCACAGATAGCATGGCAACCGACCGCCGGTCGGTCACGCCCTCCCCAGGTGCGCGCACCTCGGCAAATACATCGCGTGCGGACACAAACAATATCATCACACAGGCTGGCGACAGAGTCTGCGAACGTCCACCGTCAACGACTACATCATGGCTACGTCGTTGATGTCGTTGTGAAGTAGGCTCGCAAAATCGATAGCTGCGCTCCGCCTAAAAATAATTGCGCCGAGATAGTTGTTAGAGTAATGATCTGCTTGGAGGTTCAAATATACAGAAATCTAATAGCGAAAGGCAAATTTAAATCCTGCTTAGTATCTTAATGTAGTGATGTACTGCTGTCTGAAGAGGTTAAGGATGAGAAGAATTAATGAAGTATGAAAAGTGTGGATGTAAACCCTAAAAAAATCCATAGATTGAAATATAAATTGACAACAAGATATTACTGAGTATTTGAATGTAACTCCATAAAAGCTCTCTTGCTTGAAGCAGCTAAGCGAATGTTGAAATGGAAGTAGGAAGTCCTTGGCATTTTTTTGGTTATAGGTGAACACCTGTGGCAAATAAAAATTTTGTTAACACCCAGTTCTTTTTTTTTGCGCCTGTGATACTTGATACTCAACGTCTTTACTGCAGACAATGGCAGATCAGAAATTAAGAAGAGCCATTACC